GGACGATGCAGTGCATGCACTGATCTGATGCTTCTTGACATGAGAGCAGTTTCCCAGCGGAGTGAAGAAAATACATGAACCTCACGGGACTCACTCCTCAGTTTATACTGTGTTTTGTTTCAATGAATGTATCATTTAGTTACAAATATGTGATATATCTGAACAACAAAGTGGACAAAAATCATTGTATTCATTTATTGGAAACATTTTCATGATCACATTTTTCTTTTATACATTTTAAGAATGGCGTTTATCTTTTTTGAGAATAAGTTCTTATTTTATTGAATGTATTTGGGTCTACAACAGATGATACAAATGTTTGTGTCAGTAAATGTGTACTAACAGAGGCGGGGGTGTTTGTGAAAATAACGGGGACAGAGCTGCTGTCAGACGAACAGCTGTGCGGCGTCATCACAAACGGATGTCGCTTCACGTGACGCTCCGGAGGAAAGGACCATGGATGTATAATAAGAACTGGATACAGCATGGGAGGCGGGGCCTCATTAATTCCTATGAGAGCTGCTCATTAGTGCATGATGATAAAATGGCCCAACTTTTGAGAGAGTGAAACGTCACAGATTACCCGTACCCGTATGTGCGCTCATAGAGCATGCGCAACTTTAACCAAAATGCTCGTTCACATCAAGCACGTCAATTTGCGTACACGTAACAGCACCGCGTGTTCATGACAGCATGGTAATGGATTGTTATTATGATGGATTTGATATTAACGAGGCGGCAGTTAGCAGCTAGCTAGTAATTATGCTAATGTCACATCAATCGTTATGTACTTATATTACGCTGTAACAGGATCTAGTGATATCCAAGCAACAGAGCTTCATTTAGCATGAAAGAATGATTGCACTGTGTATATATATATATATTAGGGCTGTCAAGTTAACGCGTTAATAACATAATAAAAATAACATAATAAAATAAAAATAAATTAACGCCACTAATTATTTTAACGCGATTAACGCATGTGTATTTTTTTTCCTCGGCCGCCCCGTAGTTTCAGAGCGCATCGAGTTTAAAATACCAGGAGCTGTTTAAATGAAAACAGAGGAGCGACATTTCGCCGACAACTGCGCCGAGCACTTGACTTTATGCAGGAAGCCTATGGGCATAGATATGTCTCATAATTATTTGTGTGAACATAAAAATAATGTGTGTGTAAATATGTGATTTGTAAATGTAAAACACCATCCACAAATGCATTTAAAAGATTTGCAAACTCACAAATACATTTGCAAATGTAAAACGGATCTGCAAATATGCTGATATGATGATGATGATGGTGATAAAGAATGCATCTAACGTTCCGCTGTTCATTATAATAAAAAAACAGAGCATTAAACAAACCATCATGCTCTTACTTTGAAATCATGTGGAAATGTCGTCATCAGCAGGCCATCACGTGGTTTCCGAAAATAACCGAGTGACACGAGTAGATTTTAGCCGAGACCGGCGGAAAATATGTTTCAAAATTCTGTGTGTGTAAAAAGACGATCCACAAGCAGAAATGTGAGATCCGCGAGCAAAGATTTGAGATCCGCAAGCGCATTTTTGGTCGGCAAATACAAAATGGATTCACAAATGCCTGATTGAAAGTTGTAAATGTTAAAGAGATATTCACAGATATTTTTTTTATTTGTGAACATATTTAGCGTATTTGCAGATCCGTTTTACATTTGCAAATTTATTTGTGAGTTTGCAAATCTTTTAAATGCATTTGTGAATGGTGTTTTACATTTACAAATCACATATTTACACACAAATTATTTTTATGTCCACACAAATAATTATGAGACATATCTATGCCCATAGAAGCCAGACAGTGGGACATTGTACGAAAAGTCAGCACACTCAGCACGGATAGTGTGCGCAACATGATTGCAGCGTCCAGGCAGCTCCCGTTCGAGCATATGCCTTGAGTTGCACATAGCTCCAACGCACACACACACACACACACACACACACACACACACACACACACACACACACACACAACACACACACACACACACACACACACACACACACACACACACACACACACACACACACACACACACACACACACACACACACACACACACACACACACACACACACACACCATTTGTATTGTATTATTGTATGAGAGAGGTTCCAGGTTGAATTGAGGCGAATATTTGTAATCTTCAGAGGTTGTTGTGTTTAATATTCATGAGAATATTTGTCATTGTTTAAATGATAATAAACATTAGCATAAAGCATATTTGTCCACTCATATGTTGATAAGAGTATTAAAAACTTGAAAAATGTACATTTAGAACAGATAAAAAATGTGCGATTAATTTGCGATTAATCGCGATTAACTATTTTAATCGACTGACAGCCCTAATATATATATATATATACTTATAATAATAAGTAATATTAACTTTATTTAATACAACATTTACGGTACAAGATTTAATCATACAGCCCATGTAGTATGATAATGAATTATAGCAAACATGTGCAATATATCCATTATTACAGCTCCGTGGGATGGCAGTAAGACGATATGGGTCCGTTCTTATTGTGCATCCATGGGTAAAGATAAACGCAACTCACATTGGTTTCTCAAACAGCATCTCTGTAAACTACGTGTATTCACTGAATTTCACTCTCTGCCTTTAACGGCTCGTTGTAGCTCCAATAGCTCCAGCCCCCACCCTCCCTGTGAGCACAGTGTGCTCTGATTGGTCGGGACACGTAACATGAACGTGCCGGGCGGCGCGGTCTCGTGGGTTAGATGCGCGTTCATAATGCAGAGGGAAATAACTCTCAGAATAACGTTATTAGCACATTATTACAACTTGAGGAACGAATGTTTTTAATAAGGGCTATACAAGTGTTCATACTGGGTACTTTATTTAGTTTAAAAAAAATTATCCAACGATTTACAGACCACTCTTTCCCCATGTAAGTCAATGGGAAAAAGTGTTTCCGGGCCTGGCATTGATTGATTGATTGAAAAGTTTATTAACAGCTTGTATATTGGGTACAGTACAGTACAGCTCAAAACATACAATTGTTAAGGGGATGCAGACCAGAGAAAGACGTTCGTCTTGTTTACATCAGGGTCCCCCATTTCCAATTCATCATAGCAACCAAACGGAAGTGTAGTACTGCCGTTTGGCCAGCACGAATATTTTCATCTGAGTCCGGCGCACTTCCTGGAGGCTTGGAAAGGACGTCCCATTGCTCTTAAAACTCATTTCCCTGCTTCTCGTGGTTTCCTTGCGTCTCTCCATGCTTCCCTGGTGGGAGGGACTAAACGCAGGGAAACGACGCAAGTGAGGGACGCAAGGATTACATTTAATCGACCTGAGAAGCAGCCTATGACGGACCGTGAAAATGGGCCCTTTCTGTGTCAGCCCCCCATCGGCCAAACTTCCTTTTATGGAAGGTTTGTCGGTGGAGTGGGCCACAGCTTCTTAGCTGTGGCTACACAGCTGCTTACATGTCCCCTAACACAGTTTTATGGGGAATGGAAGCTCAGCTGTGTACTGACAGAGTGGATGGACAGGACACTGAAACTGGGTTACTCACTCCAGTTTTGCAGCGTCCCTCCTCCATTCAGGGGCATATCATCCCAGGAGGAGAGGTTTCCTTTCAGCAGAGATTCACAAAAACAGGCTGTGTCTGTTGTGCACTCAGGACAGAGAAAAGGGGCTTTACTCCATGTACTTCCTGGTTCCCAAGAAGACAGGAGAATTCAGGCCCATTCTGAGTCTTTACATCCTGAATCAGCACATTGCCTGCAAAAAGTTCCATATGTTAACCATAAAACAATTAGTGGAACTAGTGCAGCCGGGGGTTTGGTTCACATCCATCAAGCTGAAGGACGCTTACTTTCATGTCGAAATTGCTCCAAAGCACAGAAAGTATTTGCGTTTTGCCAGATAGCCTATATGAGTACAACAAACTACCGTTCGGCTACTCCCTATCCCCACGCACGTTCAGCAAATGTGTGGCCACAGCGCTTCATCCGCTTTGCGACCATGGCATAAGGGTTTTCTTTTATCTGGATGACCTCATAATCATGGCCAGGTCCAGGGAATGGGCAATGTTTCATACAACCCAATTGATCCTACACCTAACCAAGTTGGGATTTGCGGTGAATTGGAAGAAGAGCAGTTCCATGTCTAACCAGCAGGTGGAGTATCTGGGGATTTTGCTCGATGCAGGCAGACTAGTGCCACCCTGTCAGAGAGCAGACAGGCATCCCTGCTTCAGGAAGTTTGCAGACTGCGACAGGGGGCAACGGTGACAGCTTTGACCATCATGCAGACTCTGGGTCTCATGGCGGCTGCTCACCTCGTGGTACCGCTGGGGTTACTGCATATGCGTCGCCTGCAGAGGTGGTTTACCGGCCTGCGTTTAGATCCCAAGAGGCACAAACAACGTCTGGTGACCATCCCCCCCTCAGTGGAGGGCAACCTCCGATACTGGGGGTCCCCAAAGCATCTGCGGAGGGGAATTCCACTGGGGCGGGTGACCTCCTACATCACAGTATTCACAGATGCATCCGTGACAGGATGGGGGGGACCTGGCTAGAGAGAGCTATAGGTGGTGGCTGGCCTCTGACAGAGACTCGGCACATCAACCTTCTAGAGCAGTAGTGTTGGTCCTACAGCACTTCAAACCCTTACTACTTCTTACTTCACACCACTTTCTGTGTAGGAGCCATTTATGTGTATTGTTGGCATGTCAGTTTATTTTGTTTATATTTATCTTGCCATATTATTTTTTAACACTAGGTGGCGGGGGTTAGCTGCAGAGGGTGTATAAATAGGGTCATAGGTGACCGGAAAGTTCTATCCAGACACGGCAGATGCTCACCACCAGTAGGCAGAAATGTACTTTAGGGCGAGCCTGTATAAAATAGGGTGGGCCAGCTTTTTCCAGGGGGAAAAATGACTTTAAGGTAGGCCTGGCCTATAATAATAATATATAATAATGCCCATTGCCAAGCATTGTTGTAGCATTCCCTCCGAATAATGGTCAAAGACTTGACTGATGATATGAATTTATTGAAAACTCCAATATCAACGTAAGAGCTATAAAGACACAAAAATAACAAATACATTTAGGCTCCATCCGTATTAGAATCACTTTAGCATATTACCAAAAGTGAACTGTAAACAGACAGCAAAGCTACAAAACAGCATATAAACGAATTAGCACAAAACCTATGTTTATATTATAGTTAATACCAACCTTGTGCCTCTTCGGGGGGTGCTAAACTTAAACATAAACTTTATCCTTTACTTTCTCCATCTTTATATGTTGATTAATCTCCGCTACTTTTCTCCGTCACGTTGTTTCCATAGCAACAACTACTTCCTGTCAACAGCGTAAACTCGCCTTCAAAATAAAAGCATCTAAATAAAACAGGAAGTTAACCTAAATATAGTTTTAAGACATATTTACAACTGCAATGAAAGTAACAAAAACAATGTAATATCCTTTTCAGTTTCACAGAACACAAATTGGGTTATTTACAATCGTTAGCTAACTATTGTATTGCACTAGATAACAGCAACAATAGGTTGTAGCATTCAAACCTGCTCATGGACTTGCAGTGGTCCTCGCTTTTTGTATGTCTCTCCAACGAGTTACGCAGGTGCTTCCAGTCTACATATCCATCCCTCGTAAATGCACCTTCAGCTCCTGGGCTGGGGAAATGTCTGCACATTTTACAGAAAAGCTAAATGCAATGTAATGTAAAAAAGCGCGTCCCTACTTGCCTGTATTCCACCCAGGGAAAATCTTCATACCACCTCAACCAGTTTTTACCGGAAATGAGTTCCGTTCAGAGGATAAAACACATACAACAGTAATTCAACTCAATATTTGTTCACTTGAATTTCACTTTGAATGCTTGGATATTCTCAATGGGTGAATACAATTGAGTATAATATAATAATAATAAAAAATTAAAACAATTACACCGAAGCTTTCTCAGGGTGGGCCAATGACTAAACTGGGTGGGCCCTATATGGTGGCTACGCCACTGCTCACAACTAACACTCACTGGAAGATTGAATCCTGGTATTGTACAACTCTGAATAAACATCAAACTAAACTGCATTCACCGACCGGAAATCATCTGTTATGTGTCTGCATATGGATCACTCTAAACCTCACCTTTGTAATAATGGCAATGGCAATAATTGCCATTACAGTCTGTGAGTGCTCAGGTTTCATTAGAAGTGACTAGATTTTCTGCTCAGAATGCTTTGAGGAATGCAAACACTGTCTGCATTTTGAATAAGAGACAGCTCTCTAGTCCTGGTCTGTATGTCTTATAAGGACACACAGTGAGTGCCCATGGTTCCGTGAAACTCATTTTAGGTAAAACACTCCCATAGGTTGAGTTGACTCAACACAGGCTTTTCTTGCATCACTTTTGATCATGCTGTTAAGAGGTCGCCTTCACACTAACCTTCGGTCACACAAGTTGGAGAACCCCTTATACACATGGTCGTTCAGTGAATGCCAAAAAGATCATTGAAATTACTCTTATCTGCACAGTAAATGTGCTTTCCCAAACTTTTGTGGCAGCAACAGGAATATTGTGTCCCCTATTGAATAGGAAACCATAAGTGTAGACATGTAGATTATTCACTGAAGTATGTCACAGGAGTAGAAAAAATGTAATGAAATATCATTTATAAATATAGTATGAAACTGTTTGGAGAGATTGTGTTAGATTGGGAAGAAACAAAGATTTCATGCATACAAAGAGATGCTAGTAAATGTCCGGTTCATGATCTGCATGATGATGCTTGGTAGAGAAGACTGTCTGGTCCTAAATGGACACGTGGCCGCTCTCCCAGCCCGCTCTGGGGGTGGCGGTCACCTTGTACCGCGCCGGCTGGAGGACCACGCCAAACTTCCCCTGGAGACTGGGCAGAGAGTGTCCTGTGGGGACGGAGAGGGAGAAGCGCTGCAAGATCCACGACAGGAAGAGGAAGAGCTCCATCTTTGCCAAGGCCTCGCCCAGACACACCCTGACCCCCACTCCAAACGGCAGGTAGCTGCTGGACGGGACCCTCACTCCGGTGCCCTCACTGTTCAGGAAACGAGCTGCAGAGGAACAAACCGAGTCACAACAACACAAGCTGGTGGCTCACACACTGAAAAAACTGAAACTGACTTTAAAGAGGACCTATCATGCAAAATACACTTTCTGATGTTTTTTATACATAAATATGTGTCCCCTGTGTGTAAGGAGACTCACAGTGTCAGAAAATAAAACCCTCTCTCTTTTCCTCCGTGCGCAAATCTCTAAAAAGGGGCTGCAACGGAGCTGATCCTGATTTGCTGCCGATATTACATAATAAGAAATATGGGCTGGCTTTACGCCCACGGCCCTATCAGAAACGTTGCTATCAGAAACAATGCGCAACTTGTTTTGGACGTAATATGGTCTGTGTTTAAATTAGCAAGCATCGCTAACACTCAGAGCTAACCTGTACTGGAGAGAGTATGTGTAAAGAAGCAGGAAATAAAAGGTACTGTCCTTGTGGTAAACCCGCGCGAGAAAAAGCATTTGAGCTCCATACTGTTTCAGAAATAATCCGTGATGTGGTTTTGAACATGATATGGCATTTAATCACGGCAGTGTTTAGCTGACAATCTGCCGGTAGAATCTCCCGCATAAGCTCCGCCCCTTTCCCCCCCCCCCTTTTTTTTACATTTCTTTTTTTTAAAAAAAGCTTTATACCCAGAATCAGCATTTTAGTAACAGGGTGGAAATATAGGATATGAGGCATGGCTATATGGGTGATCTGTTTGGTATTTTGAGCAAAACACTTCATAGACATGTTTTTTATATATTTGTATATATATCTGAGGCCTATGCTATTGCCTAAAAATAGCATGATAGGTGACCTTTAAGTAAATTGATTATGTCAACAGTTATAAGGTAAGTTATGTATAACTAACCTTATAATTGTCTGTATAAGGTTAGTCAAAAGCAATAATATTAAGTTGAACCTAATATTTTGTATTTAAACTGAATATTATTGCTTTCAACTCACCTAATACAGTTATGTGAAATCTCTTGACCTAATACATTTAATTAAAGTTTTTTCAGTGTAGGTGGTCCACATGTGAAAAATTGTTTGATTTAACATTTTTTACAGCAAAAAATGCTAAGGCATTTAGGTTAAAGTACAGAAAATAAAGTGCTATCTGTACTATCTTGAAAGGTCATTTAGTCTTAATTTAAAAAATAAACAATGTAGCTATTATTATTGTTCCATTTGTTCAGGTTTTCACCCGAATACAATATAGCTGAATTGATTTAGAACAACAACCACTTATCCCTGCAAGATGACATATAGAGTATCCTGAGCAACTAGGGTTTTATTTCTGAACAGATAATAGCACCAATAAGGACATTCCATTGACACTAACTCTGTAGACACTACGTTTTAATATTACCCATGTTTTAAATGTTCTTATTTAAATGAATAATCCCACTATATTATCATTGCTCTAGTCTTGGTGGTTGATAGCCAATGAACACTCAATGTTAACTCTAACTCTGTGTCCTAATAACAATAACAGAGATGGCTTAATCCAGGCATCCTCAAACTACGGACTCTGGTCCGGATCCGGACCGAACCAGCACTGTCTCCGGACTCTGAGCAAATTATACTTTTCATATGTATGATCTCTCTGTATTATATGTGAGACATCGCCACAACGCATTCGCAACGAGTCAACATTCTCCGCTATGTCCACTGCAAACAGCGCTCTGCATGTCTGACTGTTCCACTGTGTTCCACCTGTGTGTGTCAACGCTTTGGTCCAATCACATTCAGCATCCAGTCAGCGTTTTTTCCCCCCAAACAATCTGCGAATCAGAGGCACAGTAGGGCGGGTCTTCGCGGAATGCGGGTGGGAAAAATGTGTGTGTCTCTTTCAACCTGTCTAAGTCAGAGCGAGAATTAAAACAAAACAAAAAAAATTCAGAGCGAGAGTTAACAGCTCATCTAGTTCCATCTGTACTGTAGCTAGTAGCCTAGTTTCACCTACCGGGGTGGCAACTGACACCCTAAAAATAGGCCTTGCCACCCCAGCTGCCACCCCAGTTGGCAGCTTTGTTTGAAAGAAAAGTTGTGGCTCATCGGACATTTATGAGAGAAAGTCTCTAATGTCCGAGTGCAAGTGAATGCAGCACAAGATGCACGTCATGTAACCCCTCCCCCGGTCCTGGCGCGAGCGTGGACATACGATTTGGCGGCGATTTCATTTTGAACTGGACGGCGCAAAACGAGAAGCATTCGGACCCAAGCGCTGAAGGAATGAGGTATTTGCGGTCTACAATGACAGAGAAGAGACTGTCAGTTTGACTGTACTCAGCATTGAATCAAAACGCACTGAAGCTGTTGATCTTAATACGTTTGTGAGGCGTTTCGCTGAACAAGATGGTAATCGCCGCATTCAGCTGTAATAGACAATGTCAACTTGATGCTCTGCTCACGGATGAGCATACAAAACTATTAAGATGATGACCTTACGTGTGTAAATATATTGTTTTCTTTGAGGGGGTCTGCCCCCAAAAAACTGTTTTAAGTCCTGAGAAAGTCAAATAAGACGGTGTTTAAAAAACTACACTGCCCAGCCAAAAAAAAGTAACCACTTTGATTGAACTAGGCCAGTAGGTAAGGACTTTCCACTGGATAATAACTGCAGTATAAAAGAATGCATGACTGAAGTGATGGAGACCATGTTGAAGGCAAACAAAAAGAGGAAATAACAGGTCAAATCAAGCAAATCCCCTCTCAGATTGCACAGCAACCAGAAGAACATAAATACTGGCTGGTGATTTGATTCATCAGCTTTGTGATGGAATAAAAAATGCACAGTGCATTTCCTTAGCTGTGGGTGAGTCCACTGACACCACTGACAATGCTCAGTTGCTGGTGTTTGTGAGTTTTTATGATGAGGCAAAGGGGGAGTTTGTTGAAGATGTGTTGGGCCTGACGAACCTCAGTGGACACACAAGGGGGCAAGACATTTATAAAGCAATAATGGGAATGCTGAATGAAAGAGGGTGCAGCTGCCTTTATTCATAACTGTGCAGCTCTTACACTGCGACTCTGAGGGGTCAAGCACAGAAACAATAACAATGAAAACTGCTGCATACAGATTATTTTTGTTTTTGCAACCTCGTGTTAAGAATCTTGTTGCAATTGTTTAAAAGTTTGAATGACCGTAATAAACGGACCTTTGTCTTATTGAAACATTTATTTTGGACCTTTAAGATTTGTATTTGAGTACCCCTGGCTTAATCCATGGGTCGGCAACAGGCGGCCCGCGGGCCATTATTGGCCCGCCAGCAATAATATTTCGCCCGTAATTTTGAGAATCACTAATAAAATATAATTTTGAGATTTTTTTTTTTTTTACAACATAAAAGCCGCTGATTGATCGGCCGCCGGTCATTATCGGCCGATATTCACTCTTAATAGTTTGATTGGTGCTCTCTATAAAGGCCGATCAGGAGAGCTGGATCTGATCGATATGGACATAAACGCGAGTGAAGTATAACCGGACCCGAGAGAGAGATCAGATCAGCTGCTGAGTCTGACGGAGACATGCAGCTCTGCATAATCACCTGAAGCCCCGCCTCTGTTTAGCGAGCTGCTTGAGAAACTGACGGGCTGTCAGGAGAGAGAGGGAGGGAGAGGGGAAAAGAGAGCATTCGTTTCTCCCGTGTTATTATTCAAAGTTAATGTAAACTTTTGAATAATGTAGCCTACTTCATCTACTAAAAGTAGTTTGTTTGAATGTAATAATTATGTTGTTTGTTGTTTGTGGAATCATTTATTGAAAAATGAATCTGAACTTTTCGATCTGTAACGATTATAAACTGAAGCAATATAAAAATGAGCCCCATTAACTGAGTTTTAAACATCAGCATATCCGGTCATAGTGGTGATTACCTGCTAACGGAAACTCTGCTACACCATTCTTATTATTATTATTGAAACATGACCGGTAAGTTTCAAATTTGTCCGGTAAAATAAATTCTGTCCCGAAATATCCGCTTACATTCATAATGTCAGCGGAGGGAGGGGAAGCGGGGCTGTGGAAGAGCAGAGTGGCGAGGGAGAGCTGTCATCTTCCCTTTACAAGCTTCAAACATGTATTTATCGTGTGATTTTGGAAATAAAAGTTTCATATTCTGAAAGCCAAGACTTTGTTTATTTAAAATCAAACAAAACACCCGAACCCCGAAAAACTAGTTTTTTACGCAAATCCACGTTTATTTTGAAATGAGCCGTTGAGACTTCCGACTGATTTCGATAGAGCTGGGTTGCGTTCCAATAGTCCATTTAGCTTAGGAACCTTCCTAACGGAGTTAAATGACCCGGAAGTACGTCACTGGCAGCCATGATAAGTGCCGTTCCAATTCTCCAAATGAAAGGAAAGGAGGTTTCAAACTTCCTTTATAACCTCATTTAGCTTAGGAACCACTGGACCTCCCTAACCGAAAGGAGAGGAGAAAATGCTGCCCCACAATGCATTGCAGCCGCAGCATTTGCCGTCACTCAACAGTCGGCCGTTCACGGAAACAACCGATTATGACCGAGAAATGATATCATGAAAGTTACGGTGCTTATTAAGCATTTTAAAACGTATGTGGTAAGTTGCCAAAGTGCTTTTTTCTGAACGTTCATCAGTATTATAATCAAAAAGAGAAATTATGAACGTTAGTTTTTACTGAAATGATCAAATAAAGTCAACATTTCACAGTCTTTACTGAGCTGTGTGGGGTTTGTTCAACTTTTAAAAGATGTTTGAATGGTGATATACACAGTGATAGATGTTAAGGACTAACGTTTATAATAAATACATTTGTATTGATTTTAAGATCTTTTCATAGTTCATACAATCATACGTATTGGGATCATTTGTATTAATGTGGACCGGAGGGAGGGGGTGACGAGCATAAGTTTCACTTTCCTTGTTTATTTCAATTCCAACTTTGGTCATGAAGAATATGTTTCTCTGTTGTCCCCGTTCATAAAGCAAAGCAACAGCATCAGAGCACGGTGCAGAGTCTCTAGATGAGTTTACACTAGTCCCTCGTTCTTATTAAACATCCATGTTGTAGTCCGCTGTATAGAAAACTGTAGTTTCCATAGTTTCCCCACAGCAGCAGACGCACATTCATGACGTCCGCTGGCGCATCATAACACGTCGGATAGTGAAAGTGCAGTCGATTCTCTAAAGTACCGCAGTCTCTTCTCCTAAGTCCTTTTGAATTCTCCTATCCACTATCCCTTAACCCCATGACGTTTCACTCAGAGGTTAAGGAATAGGAGATAGGGTTAGAATTTAGGAGCTGATTTTTGGATTATCGGAACGCAACCCTGGTCACATATGGCAAATTGGGGGGAACCAGGTCAATTAAAGTACTTATTTAACTATTAAATACATTGAGTTTGAGTAAAATACTTGGTTACTGATTAATTTAGGTTATACTATATTAAATTGTAAAGCAAAATGCTGTAATTGATTTATTTTGTCCTTTGGTATTTTTTAAAGGTTTGCAACCTGAAAGAATCCTAATGTGTCCTTGAAAAGTTGAAATAAAGAAAAGGAACAAGGATTCCAGTTGTCCCTCAAGCCTCTCAAATGTGGGCAAACACTCAAATAAATGCCAAAAACCCAGAGAACTTGACAATACTTATCAGAATATGTTAAATAACACTGCTACCTAGTTAATAACTCTACTTTACTCGGTGGAGGCTCGTCCATTGAGGAAAGGGAGGACCATCCTCCCTACAATGTCAGAGAAAAATAAACTTTGAAGAGAACAATAAATACACCTCAATTTAAAAGATAAGTCTGTTAAAATACAGATAATAGCCCTGGCTTTGGGACTGAAATGGGGCTAGAGAGGACGAGCCTCCCTTTGGGCGGGTCTAGCCAGAGGCTCTGGATTGGGCGCCTATATCATCAGTGAACCAATCAGCGGATCTGACTACGCATCAGAGTGTTGATGGAGGGTCATCAGCGATAGAGTTTTTTCTGAACCGGGGAACAGGGGCGCTGCGCCCTCTTACCAAAATCAATTCCTTGAATTAGGCTTTGATTATGTTCTGGCCCGCCATCTTGCGGCTCAGCAAAAAATTGGCCCACGGCCAAACTTACTTGCCTACCCCTGGCTTAATCCTTTGAATTGTCAGAAATCTGGATCTTTCTTGAGTTCAGGTATTATCTGTCAAAAGCTTTCTCCCTGCAGGCAAGAGAAAGGCTCCTCAATGCCAACTTTGAATCACACTTCAGTGCCTCCTGTTCTTGGATCAGATATGGCACACATTGGACACATTGTCCTCTCACCAGGGTCAAAGAGCTCAGGGTCTTTCCACTCCTTCTCATCGTGGTGCAGGGACCACAGGTTGATGACGACTCTGGTCCCCTTCCTCACTGTGAAGGGCCCAATGCTGCACAGATGACACACAGTGGTTCAGTGATTGCAGGTCTGCTTGGCGATACCTGACAAAAATATCTTTGTAAAGATGAATATTAAGCACAATTTTCCATAAGGAATCCAGAGCAGTCATGTGATCAGTATTTATCAGTAAACTGCTGCGATGTTGATCACCTAAATTATTTCCTTCCTGTGTGTCAGAGGGGGGGGGGGGTAAAGGCCCCTGTGTGAGTGTACCTGGTGTCACTGAGGGCCACATGTGGGATCAGCAGAGGGGCCACAGGCCGGATCCGTAACACCTCCCTGATGGTGGCCTCCAGGTAGGGCAGACTCCCCCTGTCACTGAGCTGGGGGGGCCGGTCCCCCCCCACCTTTCTGTCCAGCTCCTCTTGGATACGCCTCTGCACCTGAACCCACACACACACATACACACGCACACACAGTCATGAATATCCACATTCTGTACCAACAATACACATTTACGATGGTGTGCGTGTGTGTGAAGGCGTGTTCTTGTCTGTCAGGGTTTTGAAAGTTTTACTAAATCATAGTCACACTTACAAAGTGCAATACTGTGATAACCTAATAAGCCATTTAATAAAGCTGACATACTTCCTCAAAATCATAACCTAGACTCACATGGGGAGTGACATGACCAGTGGTGTTTAGTTACTACCAACATTGACTCAGAAGTACTGTGCTGAAGTACAATTTTGAGAGACTTGTACTTTACTTGAGTATTTCCATATTATGCAACTTTGTACTTCTACCCTCTACAGTTCAGAGGTACATGGTGTACTTTTACTCCACTACATGTATTTAATACCTTTAGTTACTTTACAGATGTGGATGAATGATGTGAATTCTAATCAAGTGTTAAATCAGACTTTAGTTCCACCTGGAGTAAATCCACAAGCTACCCTGCAGTATACAAAGCCATTCAAACTAGCTGCACCTTTACCAGCTTTGAGAACACTTTCATGATCAATCATTATAAAACATATCATATCTATTATTCTGAAATGGACCAATCTTTTACTTTTGGTACTTTAGCTATATTTTGATGATAATTATTTTCCACTTTTACTTGAGCAACATTTTGAATGCAGGATTTTTTGAATGCAGTATTCCTACACTGTGTTACTTCTACTTTAACTCAAGTACAAGATCTGAGTACTTAAATGTGGAAATATAATGACTTCCCCTATTTTGAATAGAGTCAGAGTAGCTTCTAGTGGAGTGCAGAGGAACCAGCTCAGTTATATTAGTACAAGTAAAAGAAAGGCAAGTTGAATAGCCAACTTGAACACTAAGTCAAACTCTAACTGAATTCAGACAGAGCGTGAAGCGTGTGTGAGCCAGAAGAATACAGGTCCAGGTACGTTACTGCTAAAGGGAGTCCTCCAAACACACAATATATGAGGAGTGAAAAGCCCTTCACAGCCCAGGCAGAGCCAGCTGTGGTGCACTGTGCTGCTGATCCTACCTGAGGGTGATGGAGGATGTAGGCGATGGCCCATTTCAGCACTGTGGTGGTTGTCTCCACACCGGCTCCAAAGATGTCCCCCACAGTCATGAGGAGGTGGTCCTCACTGAGGCCCACAGACTCTGCGCTGATCTCTGCTGTGTTGTTGTTGTTGGCGCTGCGTTTGGCCCTCAGGAGCGCGTCCAGCAGGTCCCGCTGCACCTGGTCACTGTAGTCCGCCTGGTCAATGGACACAACACACATCACAATAATCATCAATCAATTGTTGTGAGCCGGGGTCATCGGTAAGAGTTACGATCACGTGTTGCTCCTGAAGCATGAGATGTGATGCTGTTGGATCGCTGCTTGTTTTCCACTGTCTCTCAGCCCGTTGCCTCAAACTGTTTTTAATTGATTGGTATGAAACGTCATGCGATGCAACGAAATACAGGTCTTAGCGGTATGGAGTTAAATCTGGGCCGAAATATTGATTACATAATTTTTTTTCATTTGTGTTTATTCGCATTCAGATATTTTTTCCGCTTTCTGAAATTAAAAAAATACGACTTAAAAGGGAAAAACGATCTGAACGAGAAAAAAAGATTTGCGATCCGGAAAAAGACATTCGGAATCTGAAAAAAATAATTACTTATAATAATAATAATAATTTGAACTCATTAAAAGTGTGCAACTTTATATATTTTCCCTATTTTATCAGTGACAATTACATAAAGATTATATAAAGTGTGGGTATTTGTTGGCAGCTTGATTATCTCACCTATAAATGATAACCATTGTTGCCACTAGAGACAGATTGTATGCATATCACTGTGCTGTACCTTGTGTTCATCATATTTCTTCTGTAGAAGTTTGTCTCTGATGGAGACACACTGCTTCAGAAGACGCAGGTCTGCATTTGGAAAAATCTGTGAGAGAGAGTCAGATGTCATATACAGCACGATAATACATCATATATATCATAATAATAGAGTAAACATATTTTCTCTATGTTGCAGTTTCCCCTTTTGTTTTCCCAGTATTCTTGTTATTTGACTCCAGAAGGGTTGTATGCAGGGGCGCCGTAAGGGGGTGAAAAGTTAGGACGATTCTAAGGGCTGACAGGGGCCCCAAAAAGTAACCTTTCATCAATCATCAATAATTAACATTAATATAACGTTAAATTGATAATGTACTCACTAAACTTACGATTCATTTCACTTTTTTTCTTCCAAAAGTTAATTATCCAAAGCCTCTGAACACCCCCTCTATTTACATGTAATGGTTTGGTCCTGCCTCCAAACGCTGTGCGGCACCGCTCTTTCTAGCAGAGAGTGAGAGCATGTGAGGAGGGATGCTAGTACTTAAGTTACGTGTGTACGATATCTCAACGACTAACAAAGTCAGGCTTTCAAAAAAGAAAAGAAAGGAGAGAAAGACAAGAGAGAGGGACTAAAGGGCGACAGTATGTCACCCAGTTTTTCAAAAGAAAAGGTGGGTGTGGTCCATGAGTGGTGGAAATTAGTCTGTTAGCTAAGCTTAGTCCATTGTAAATAATAATTGTAATGTTTTGCAGACATTAAGTAGCCTACTATTAATATCTTCACAGAAAATGCTGAGGTTTTTTATTTCACTCCTCTTTTAGCTGACATTTAATAAATGCAGGTACATTTTTAGCAGCTATTCATACTAAATCAGTTGTCCCTCCCCTGGTGCCAGGACCAACAGATCCATCTCTAGGCTCCGCAGCCCTGTCCCCCCATAAGGCTTTGCAGTCTTGCCATGCTGTCCATTGAAAGCCAGTTGGCTAGAAAGCTGAACTTCAAGGACTTGATCAGTGACTTTGCCTGTAAGAAGGCTAGGTGCTGGGCTCTTGGTGAGTAAGGCTGAGCCAGGGCTCGTAATAACTGTTAAAGGGCAAGGCTATGGTAACGATATTGGATCACTACACAGAAGATGCATGATGAGAAAAAAACTGAGAACAGGTAATAGGCTCTGATTTAGCGCCACCATCAGGCATTTTCATTTCCATTTCCGTTTTGTTGTCCGTTTACACTTTAATACCCACTTATTTTGTAGTTGGTATGTATATTTAATAAAAAAATCTGCTGCTTATGTTATTTTTTTTTGTTATAGCATTTTATAAATGATAATATTGGTGTTAATGTTCACTTTAGTTTAATTTAAGAGATCATGTATATTTAAGTTATATTTATTTTGATTTATGAATGTTCCATTCAAATGTTTTATTAAAAAGGCATGTACACCATAAAAGATGACTATTGAGGTCTATTGTCTGGAATGTTAGTGTTATATCAAATAGTGAATTCTACTGCAGTAGAATGTTGCACGTCTGCACAGTGTTATATTTTCACCGCTCAGTGTCAGTAAATATTGTGCAGTTAGTATTGGACTACAAGATAGATGCAAGCCTGTACAGGTAGAGTTATTTAAAGCATAAATGAGTGGGTTGGGTTCTGGAGATGTGGTTACAGCAATTGTGCTTGGTTGGCGTGGCCTGGGCCTGGTGGTGGGGCCCAATGTGATATATTTTCATGGGGCCCAAAATCCCTGGCGGCGCCCCTGGTTGTATGGTCATAGTGGGTTTATATAGCCCATTGCTTAAATTACTTTTAACATCAGAAACCTTTGGATCAGTGTGTCTGCTGTAAAGAATCAGCCATGTTATTCACCGTAATGTGGCCTGTAGTCAGCAGCAGGAGAGGACTGTTCCCCCAGAGCCGCGTTCACACTAAGTACTTTGCCGTACTTAGCCTGTTAAGCCCTGAGCCTGTTTTTCAGGTCTCAGGCTCGAAAATGACATTCGCAGAACAAATGACCTTATCTTCCCTTCTAAAAGGGTTAAATTAATAATCTTTTTTCTCAAAGCAAGGTTACACCTGTGAGTTGGATGTAGAAGTGTCAGAATCAATATAGATGTTTTTATTTTAAAGTAAATTCAGATTGAACACAGTAAAAAAATGTCAATTATTGTGTCCGTCCAAAGAAAAAGATTACTTATTGTGAAAACAACCCTTGAATGATGGGATGGTAGACTAAAAGCTTTAGGAATCCAAACTACAACATATAATAAGTACCCTGTATCAAGGTTGATGCAAAACAAGTTAAATTTGACCTTTTTAGAGAGATTTAGCAACAAAAAAACACTTCTGGGGTCATTTGGATGGATTTGACCTATCTCTGGCCCCCCTTGCTCGATTTTGCGGATTGACATCTCTTTCTAACCGTCAGAGCCAATGGAATCGAGGGGAACTCCCACATACTCCTTATTTGGTAATGTGTGTGTGTGACTGACGCATAGCCAAAACCGGAAGCTGCGATAACTCTGGTGGCTACCATTAGCAGCTAACTTTTACTCTCCGATTTTTACATACAAATGGAATTATGGATTATAAATTTAAAAAAAATATTCCAGAGAAACATTATCAACCTATGGATTAACCGATTCAGCCGCGTTTTTTCTCGTTTTAATGCCATTGAACAAGTATTTTTGATCAGATTGACAGCAACGGTGAGACGATCTCCCGTAAAAGCTCCGTAAAGGTACGTGTTGTGATGTCTGTGTTTGCTTCCCCTGTCGCGAGTTCGGATCACTCAGTGATGATACTATATACCTAAATAATCTGTGAAACCTCAGCTTTAATCGGATATCTTGTATGTGCAGCTACGATAAGTAATAAGGGTATCTTTTATCTTGAGTTCTGTGCCAAAGTGCGTTAGCATTTTTCGCTCAGGGGTCATTTAGATGCTTCTTATGAGACTTGTGTTTTGTTTTGGTAAAAATGGTTTGTATCGTCAGTTAGCTGAGATTATTCCCGTTAATCTGGTATAACACATTAATAGGTTCTTAAATAATAAGATCCCCTGAGACACAGTGTCGTGAAAAAAAAGGACCCGCCGAGGTGGTCCTTGGGGCTTAACAGGTTAATTCCCAGCACTTAGTTCCCCCATGGAACTAAGAGCCGATCGCGTTCACACCGGAACAGCCTTCCGAGTAAATCGCCAGAACGCCGACACCTCCTCATCTCCACCGCTCCCATGTTTTATTTTGTGTTGCCATGAGTTAGTCTCTCTGCGTTTGTGCCCAGGGCGAATGCTAATGCTAATAATGCTAATGCGAGGATAATAAAATGGCGGCTCTACAAAACATTTCCGAGTTTTACGAGGCGTGGTTTGCAATTCGCCCAGCCAATCAGAACTGGGGCACTTTCCCCCCCCCAGGAGAGTACCACCTCTCAGCAGGCACTAAAAATGTGGGTAAAAGTTCCCGGCACTAAGTACTCTTTTTGGTGTGAACGCGATATAACGGATACTAACGGAACTAAACGGGAAAAGTACGGGGAAAAGTACTCCGGTGTGAACGCGCCTTATGGGATTTATGTGAAATGCGGGCATATACCATTAGGCTAGGTTTTTCAAGAGTCAATGAACCTTTATTGGCATTTCCATATAAAAAATACAGTATTGCCAAAGACACATTGTACAAGGTGGTAAAGCAGTAAACAATCATGTTGACAATATTATGTCATAGGAAAGAAACTGAACATAGGATATCATCAACCAAATCAAAATGATGATAATACAAATAATATGAATGTAATGTACATAAAATGATGTGTGTGTGTGTGTGTGTGTGTGTGTGTGTGTGTGTGTGTGTGTGTGTGTGTGTGTGTGTGTGTGTGTGTGTGTGTGTGTGTGTGTGTGTGTGTGTGTGTGTGCGGTCACTCACTGCTCCTCAGATTGTGGCAGGTCACAACATTTTTCTTTTTCTTTATTTGTGCACAGCACAGTGTTAATATTACTGATGTTAAATACCCATAGTGCACCTTTTTTGTCTTCATGCAAGTATCCTGTCATTACTTTAGTCTTCTTGTTTATTAGCTTATTGTCACATGACATGCTGTTTAATGTCCCTGCTGTGTACCTGTAACCAGGGGAAGATGTCCACCAGGCTGTCCTTGGCCACCGTGTCCACGATGCCCTGACTGTAGCGCAGCATGTCCTCGAACTCCTCGTCTCCTCGGCTGTAGGAGGAGCTGAAGCACAGCGAGCAGACCACATTGGTGACGGCCCGGGTCAGCTCAGGGGACAGATCCAGAGCCAGCCCAGCAGCTGCTGCCTCCGACAGGACGGAGCACAGAGACCCGGCCTGGGCATGGACTGAGAAGGACACAGGACACACACCTTCACATAAAAAGCAGACACAGGACACACACCTTCACATAAAGAGCAGACACAGGACACACACCTTCACATAAAAAGCAGACACAGGACACACACCTTCACATAAAAAGCAGACACAGGACACACACCTTCACATAAAAAGCAGACACAGGACACACACCTTCACATAAAGAGCAGACACAGGACACACACCTTCACATAAAAAGCAGACACAGGACACACACCTTCACATAAAAAGCAGACACAGGACACACACCTTCACATAAAAAGCAGACACAGGACACACACCTTCACATAAAGAGCAGACACAGGACACACACCTTCACATAAAAAGCAGACACAGGACACACACCTTCACATAAAGAGCAGACACAGGACACACACCTTCACATAAAGAGCAGACACAGGACACACACCTTCACATAAAAAGCAGACACAGGACACACACCTTCACATAAAAAGCAGACACAGGACACACACCTTCACATAAAAAGCAGACACAGGACACACACCTTCACATAAAAAGCAGACACAGGACACACACCTTCACATAAAGAGCAGACACAGGACACACACCTTCACATAAAGAGCAGACACAGGACACACACCTTCACATAAAGAGCAGACACAGGAGGAGTCAGGACACACACCTTCACAATGCTTACTGTCTGAAGAGCGGACACACACGTTCACCTGTACTGTGTGTGTCCTTCCTCTGTGAGGTAAACTAATCAGTGAGCCTCACTGTTGCACTGGCTGACATGTTCCTTCATCACCAGGAGACACATGCGCAGTGCAGCCCCCCCTCCCGCAGTGCAACAATGCAATCAGACCTTTTACTTTAGTAAAAGTAGCAGAGTCTCAAGTTAGAAATATTCCATTACAAGTAAGAGTTTCACATTTTAAATCTTACCCAAAGTCAAGAAGTATTTGCAGCAAACTGTACTTTAAGTATCAAAGCATTCATCAGATGTTGTTTTTAAACTACTTGTTACACTGTTGGCTGCTTTAATGTTCAGTGTAACAATGCTTCATGTCTTATAAAATGATAATAAATATGTAAAACTCTGACCTACTAAGTTACTAAAGTTGTCAGATAGATGTAGCGAAGGGAACAGTAGAATATTGTTCTCTGAACTGTAGTGCAGCACAAGTACACATTCATTTGTGTTTTTAAATATTGTATTGTGTACAGTAAGTACAAGTACATGAATACATGTACTTACATTCTACACTGGATGGTGCAGGTACTGTGTATGGCTTGTTTAACACTCTTTCATATGTGAGTACTGCTCCTAGTACTAGGATGGGTTCAAAGCAGAGACCACATGTCACTGTGTGCTGTGTGGCCAATACAGAGGGTTTCATCCTCCAATTCTATCTTCTATATTGTAATATTGCTGACATGTTCCATTGTCATTAGGACAATGGAACATAATCCTACACTACAGCTCCTTCAAACATGCCATGCATTACATCCATGGATCAAATCTCAACATCCTAAACAAAATCACAAAGTGCAAAATGATAAAAACAGAGGGTCACCTGTTAGTCCTTGGACACAAGTCATTATTAACTTTGAAGAATGATTAAGAAAAATGCCGAAAAGGTTTCTGACTTCTCAAATGAGAATTCTGTTTCCTTCGACTTCTTTGGTGGTATAGTGAATACCTTTGGGTTTAGGATCTTTTTAGAAAATAGCGAATGGATAATGAAGTTAGTCATTATCAGTGGTTTTTGGAAGAAAGAATCTTAGAGGAATATAAAACCAAAAGCATTCGAATGTTGAAATACAAAGAGGGAAGACAGCATGTTTTTGTAATGGGAGGACTGACCTAAAACTCCCTTTTAGACTCCTCAGTAAAGCTGTCTGCAGCGTCATGTGACCAGAGGAGTCCTGTGTACTCACTGGTCTTCTCGATGGAGGCAGAGCCCTCCCCAAACATGCACAGAGCTCCATGCACGATCTTCCTGTGGAACCTCCAGGCAGCGCTGTAGTCTCCAAATGCAATGTCTCTCCCATCTCTGGTCAGAATGTCTGTGGTCACCTTCATCACACAGCACAGGATGGAAAAGGAAAAACATCAATGACTGCTGCTGCTAATGCTAACATGGAGACAAGGAGAGGAGGTTTACCCACAGTTCTTGGTCTTCCGGCGAATATCTTCCCCTTCTTCAGCAGGACTTCTTTGGCGTGCGTGTGCTGGTTGACTACGATGACACAGTGGGAGCCCAGCATCAGAGAGTACGTCTGTCCGTATTTCTGCTGCAGCTCTTTAAAAAGCACATGAGGGGGGTGCGGGCTCCGCAGACTGAGCAGACTACCGATCAGAGGCAGTGCTGGGAGATGAGGGGGCTCCTGGGGGCCATGTGCGGACATTCTGAGCTTCAACTTTAGAGCTAACAAAACCAGGCCCACCACCAAAAATACACCCAGATACAGGAACCAAGCCATATCCACAACAGAGGGCCCTGACAGAGAGAGGCCAGGCGTCACAGAGAGGGGTTCTTCAGGAAGCCCCCCAGCTGCTGCACACACACGCCTTTATACACTCCTTCAATGCCACAGCCTTCACTCGCAGTGCGTAAGGCTGGGCCAACCTAAACAAGATAAGATCACACTTGATTCATTGAATCCTTGCAAAAACCGTGACAGGACCTTTAACCTTAACTCGGACACAGCTGTCAGCAGAGAGGAGCCACACTGCACTGAGGCCGGGTCCACTCGCTGATCCCAGATCTATTACCTGATGGTGCTTTGCAGATCATTTTATGCTATCATACAATGGTATATTTATATGCAACACTTTATAAAGGAAATTAAAGGGCTGGTTTGAATACTGCAGTTTATAATTGATTAAAATGTGTTTTTTTATTTTATTTAAGTACCGTCAGTCATGCCCAACACTCCGAAGGTTTTGCACATTTGTATACAAAAGTACCTTATTTAATATCTTTGACTATGTTTATGTATGCACCATAGACCAGGGGTGGGGAACCTTTTTCCTCTCACGGGCCATTTCAATTTTTCCAACATCCTCCGAGGGCCGTACAAATGATTGACCTCTGCTTAAAAATACTAAAATCACAGCCCATTCATTTGGCCTTTCTTTCATGCTGTGCAAAGAAAAAGCAACCTCTTAATCCAGATATCTCACCATGACTCGCGTATGCATGCACGTGCACGGTGTGGCATGACCACCAAAACAGAAAGATGTGGACACAAGATGTGTGCAAATGTATTTAGTATCCTATGTGGACATGATTTAAGTGGGGGGGGGGGACCTAACCTCCTCTAGGGGGGCATGCTCCCCCGGGAAGATTATTTTTTAAATGTTGAAGTTGAAAGCATCAATCTGGTGCACTTTGAGAGCAACATTAGGAGATCTATGGATACATCTCTCAACACCCATATGAAACAGAACTGTAAGCAGATTTATTTTTCTTTATGGATATTTTACAAATCACTCCCCTTTCAAACTGTATTCTTGTTTATTAATAACAACTTTTTTTTACTGTCATATAGTATTTTATACCTGTTTACTTTATTCTCTTATTTTTGTATAACTATAATGATCATATAAAGATGTGCCTTCCCCTCACTGGTTGGAGAAAAAGCTTCTTATATTCGTTAGCATAGCTAGCCAACCAGATGCTAATAACAACAAAGTTATTGACTGTCTGTATGATCAGTATGACAGATGAACAGATCGCCACTGGGCTTACAACTAAAGACACAGCCATACAAAAACTGCGGCATGTGTACGGCTCCTTATGGGTACTGCAATTTTTGGAAGTGCCGGAGCAGCGTTCTGGTGCTGCCCGTCAGCACTACACCCCTATCAGACCAAAGCCCTAGAGAAGAATCTCTCCAGGGCTCTGTGTCAGACGAGACATATACCACGTGATGATGACACGTTAGGCTCGTGTTGTATTCAAGGACCCTGACCTTGGCCAGGAAAAACAGGCACTCGCTTGTTTAATTTTTTTGCGGTCTAGATTTCTTTAATTTTTTCTTTTTTGCGTGTGTACATAAATTACCTCGAGGGCCGTACCAAATTGTCTTGCGGGCCGAATACGGCCCGGGGGCCGCAGGTTCCCCACCCCTGCCATAGACCAAGGCAAATTACTCGTATGTGTAAACCTATTGGCAATAAACCTGTTTCTAATTATCATGTGAACTCTGGCTTTGTTCACTTAGTCGTGTATACAGTATATGATTGCGACAGTTTAATGACCATGTATATATCAGAAGCATTTGAAAATCAAATACAGTAAACAGGACCCAACATAAAGTGAGAGGATCGCTCTGATGGACGCGCTGCGGTGTATTTTGACCCTGCTCTCTCGCCGTCTCCAGCACAAACACAACATGGCGTCAACAGAGACCCAGCCGCGGTTCGGCCAGTCTGTTAAAGGCTTACTCTCCGACAAGGTGGGCTCCTGTAGCGGGGATGTGATCGCCCTGACCCGCCAAGTGCTGAAGGGATCCCGCAGTCAGGAGGTAAAGCCCCGCGAAGGATGTAATCACGTCAAACAGCTAATAGCTAACAGGCTAACACAGAGAACACACCTCCTGTAGAGTCAGAAATAATCAGAGGAGGCCAAAACATCTGTGACCCCATCAGTCAATCACATCGTATTCAGAAAGTGCTCTACGTGTGTTGGCTACTAGCCTGATGCTAATGCCTGCTTAGGTCATGTAGTTGGATTTCTTAAATGTAGCCTAACATCCTGGGTAAAGCTAAGGATCCTTAAACTTACTTGTACTTGAGTAAAAGTAGAAGTACCAGAGTTTAGGAATACTCTGTTACATGTTAACAAAATGTTACTCAAGTAAAAGTAGAAAAGTATTCTCATCAAAATATAGTGAAAGTAGCGACAGTGAAAGTAGTGATTGTGCAGTTTGGTCCATTTCAGAATAATATATATGATATGTTTTATAATGATTGATCATCAAAGTGTTCTCAAAACTGGTAAAGGTGCAGCTAGTTTGAATTGTAGTGGAGTAGAAGTACAAAGTAGCAACAAATGGAAATGCTCAAGTAAAGTACATGTATCTAAAAAATATGTTTGGGTAACTTAACTTAAAGTGGACCTATTATGCTATATTTGAAAAATATATTGTAGGGCCATACCTATACAAAACATGTCTGTGAAGTGTTTTGCTTAAAATACCAAACAGATCATCCATTGTAGCCATGCCTCATACCCAGTGGCGGCGCCAGGATATGGCTGGGGTAGGCTACAGCCATACCAAGAAATGGCTTAGCCCCACCATGAAAAATGATGTTAAAGTAAGCAAATTAAATTAAATAATAAGCAAAATGTTGAGAAAACGGCTTGCGAAAATATACGAGTCGTGTCCACAACACACAAACTGATCCTGCTGTTACAAGGATACAAAGTGCACGTTACTGATGCAATATGGTTGAGACCATTCAGGGTTATGCTAGAAGAGGGGTGCAAGGAATAGTCTAAGTAGTGGGGGAGTTTTATACATTAAGGGTGTGGAAATTCTCTGGCGTTATAATATCAGCGCGGCCGCGGTCGGATCAAAATGTGACGCAGACGGACCCCTAGATTCCACCGGGTCCGTTTGCATCGTGTTACGGCTGCGCCGCGGCGTCCGCAAGGATCGCGGCCACTCTAGCCAATGGGTGCTATTCCACCAGACGCGCCGCGTTACGGCTCAGAAGCGTCCCAGAAGCGTCTCGCCGCTGGGCCCCGCTCGACATAGGATTGAAGTCTATTTTTCGACGCGAGGCGTTGCAGAGGCACCGGGCAGGAAGTGGACTGGTGACAGCATCCGGCCCATTCCCCAAATAAACTAATTTGCAGACCCTAACCCTCCGTAGTCTTTCAAGTAGGAGGAGAAATGCCAGCATTCTCCTCCGGTTTACAGGCACTGTGTAAATTATATATAGAATAACTAAAATACAGCAACACATCTTTGATTCATGTAATTTATAACTGGGATATTACAAGTATTATTAACTTTGTCTGTACAAAGTAGCCTGTCCAGGAAATATGCCCAAATCAACAAAAACTGCGAGCCGGCAGGCAAGACGCTCCGCTTCTGAAATGCTTCTGCAACGCGCCCGGTAGGGTATGGCGCCGGAGGAGGCCGGACCAAAACCGTGGCACAGCCGGACACGGTGGAATCGAGAGGTTAGAGAGTTTTCTACCGGGAGAAACTCAGCTAAATGCTGCCGTGATTAAACGCCATATTATGTTCCAAACTACTTCAAGCATTATTTCTGAAACAGTACGGAGCTCAACACTTTCTCTCTCGTGGGTTTACCACAAGGACATTACGTTACACATATGTGACTTGCTCTATCGAAATCAGTCGCATTGACCCGAAAACACATTTTGAGTTGTATACACTGGCTATACTCAGGATCAGGCTATAATCAGGCTAACTAACCTGTAGCTGCTCCGTCCACACTCACAACAACGTCATACAGACATAAATAAAGCAGCGACTGTATTCAAAATGACATAGACAGTCTGTGTTTTGTACATGTTTAACTTTTGTCCAGTTTCTGAACATATATGAGGAGCTGTGAGCTCTGAGTGTGTGCTAACAGCTAACGGCTGATGTGTTGGGCCAATCATGCAGCGTCATTTCTTGACTGGCAGCAAAAACAACCAATCACAGCAGTGCTTCTATGGCTGGCTCTGTCCAATCACAAACAAGAAGTGTTCTCCCTAAGGAATACCCTTTCCAATGCTGTTGTGTTTTCTGAAATACTGTGGTGTTTTCTGAAATACTGTGGTGTTTTCTGAAATGCTGTGGTGTTTTCTGAAATACTGTAGTGTTTTCTGAAATACTGTAGTGTTTTCTGAAATGCTGTGGTGTTTTCTGAAATGCTGTGGTATTTTGTGAAATGCTGTTGTGTTTTCTGAAATGCTGTGGTGTTTTCTGAAATGCTGTGGTGTTTTCTGAAATGCTGTGGTGTTTTCTGAAATGCTGTGGCGTTTTCTGAAATGCTGTAGTGTTTTCTGAAATGCTGTGGTGTTTTCTGAAATGCTGTGGTGTTTTCTGAAATGCTGTGGTATTTTGTGAAATGCTGTTGTGTTTTCTGAAATGCTGTGGCGTTTTCTGAAAAGCTGTGGTGTTTTCTGAAATGCTGTGGTGTTTTCTGAAATGCTGTGGCGTTTTCTGAAATGCTGTAGTGTTTTCTGAAATGCTGTGGTGTTTTCTGAAATGCTGTGGTGTTTTCTGAAATGCTGTGGTGTTTTCTGAAATGCTGTGGTGTTTTCTGAAATGCTGTGGTGTTTTCTGAAATGCTGTGGTGTTTTCTGAAATGCTGTGGTGTTTTCTGAAATGCTGTGGTGTTTTGTGAAAATATTGATTTTCAGATTTTACACACTGGACAGGTAGTTTTCAAACCAGGCTATCGATTGGTTAGTGACACCAATGCATCTAAGCTTTCCCAGAAGCAGATAGAGCGGATCACATATTCTCTCCAGTACAGCGTTAGCTCTGAGTGTTAGCGATGCTTGCTAATGTAAACACAGACCATATTTCTCCCAAAACACGCAGCGCATTGTTTCTGATACAGCACATAGCTTGACATGTTCTTTCTTAAGTGTTTACCACTAGAACAGTGCCATTAGAACAGTACAGTATTATATATACCAACTTTACTCTAAGTGCCTCCTGCAGACATCCTGCTGAATACACAGACACACAGCTGCGAGAGGGGATTCAGATAGACGACTGTATACGGAGACAATATGTTGGGACGTGTCACGTGTGCCGGAGACGATAGGTTGGGACGTGTGCCGGAGACGATAGGTTGGGACGTGTCACGTGTGCCGGAGACGATAGGTTGGGACGTGTCACGTGTGCCGGAGACGATAGGTTGGGACGTGTCACGTGTGCCGGAGACGATAGGTTGGGACGTGTCACGTGTGCCACATTTCGCCATTGACGTCAGAGGAGAAAAATCCTGGATCTGCTTTGCACCCCAATTTGTTTTTTTTTGGGGTTGTATTTTCTGACACTTTGTGAGTCTCCTTACACACTGGGGACACATATTTATGTATAAAAGACATAAAAAAGTGCATTTTGCCTTTAAGTAGATTCCTTGAGGAAAAACCTTGGCAAAAATATATCTACTGAACATGTTGCTAGCATTAGCATTCCTGCTTCATAGATTAGCAGTTCTGCCTCTAGTTCAGTGCTTCTCAAAGTGTGGTCCCCCCTAGTGGTCCGTGAGTATATTGGTAACATTTCACATTTGAAATAAATAAATAAATGTAAGTTTTCCGCACTCTCGCGGGAATATCTCCGCAATGGAGCGAGCTTAAGTTTCCCAGATAAACACCTTCATCACACATGTTGCCACTTGTTTGTACCATTTTCAGGCGATTTGTAAAAAACGATGTGTTTTTGGATATTTGTGGAGTTAGGTGGTCCGCGAGTGTTTTTTTATTAGTTAAGTGGTCCTTGGTATGAAAAAGTTAGAGAAACACTGCTCTAGTTGCATCTCACTTCATTATAAACGACGTATTGAATTCTTGTTTGAAGATTCGCTGGCTCCTGCATTCCCGTTTTGAGAAGTGTCTGCTTTTTTGTCTTCTGTGACATTAAACTGATGTTTTTTTCCTGACGAGACAGGAAGTTTGAAGAAGTTTAGGAAATCTTGAGTGTTATTAGTTTGACAGAACGATTGGCAGATGAGAGGATCATGAACATTGTGTCTCCGTCTCTCTCAGCTTCTGGGACAAGCAGCAAGGAATATGGTGATCCAGGAGGACGCTATCCTTCACTCTGAGGATGTACGTATGAGCACAGAGTCAGTGAACACACACACAACAGTACCACACACTGAAGAGTACATCCCATCTCACTGTGTTGACACCTGTTCTGCTCTTTTTGTATAATTACAAACATGTCTTCATTATCATTTGTCTTCCAGAGTCTGAGAAAAATGTCCATAATCACGACACATCTACAATACCAGTGAGTACCAGCCAGCTGTTTATCCAGACATTATGTTGCTCTATTGGAAGTGAATATTAAGACTGTCTGTCTGTCTGTCTCTCTGTTAGGCAGGAGGCCATCCAGAAGAAGTAAGTCTCCCCACCGCGCTGTGTTTATGCCTCATGAGAAACAGACCGAGAGTTAACACAAAGTGATGACCTGCTCCTCTCCCCCCCCCCCCCCCCCCTGCAGTGTAGAGCACTCAAAAAACCTGCAGGACCAGCTGAGACACCTTCTGAAGTGATGCCCCCCCCCAACACTAACACCAAGCCTCTACAATGCAACGGCCTGGGACATTTTTTTATTCAATAATGTCAAATGTTATAAATCAATTGTATTACGTTAACCCACATGTGTCAAACTCAAGGCCCGGGGGCCAAATCAGGCCCTTGGCGGATTTAATTTCGGTCCGCAGGATAATCTTTAATTACTATTAGATCTGGCCCACCGGTATATTGCACGCACACCTTCACTCCATCCTGAGGGTCTCCTCAGCTCAGAGGCTGAGCCCAAACATTGATGACCTTGCACCCAAGATGAGACGCCAAGTATCTGAACTAGCATCACAGAGCAGCACACTGAGTTTAATGGATGCTTCCTTCTGCACTTTCTCTCACGCCAACAGGGCATGTTTGGTTTTCTCTTTGAGGGGAATAGTTTTGTTGAAGCTGTTGTTGGCCTGTGGGAAAATGTACTCATAAGAAATGACTCTGGAAAAGCTGCAGATAGAGCCATAAGAAATGAATGCAACTGATTATTTAATGTGTAATGTTGTTTTTATAGGCAATCATTTAAGCTTTGTTAGTTCCAGGTTTAATATGTGCAATAAGTTCATTTCAATGAGTTTTGCGATAAACATTGCAGGGCCCTCGACTAGTACCCATTTTTTTATTTTGGCCCACTGTGTATTTGAGTTTTGACCCCCCTGCGTTAATGTATTCAATTCTTTGTTTGTGTCATCTTGTCTAACGTAACGGCGCCCTGTAAATCAGACTGCCTACAGCTAAAGGTAAAGGGACACATTGTTCTCAGTGGAGTCAGAGACCTTACCAGCGCATAACTTCTGTAATACTACATATATATATTATATGTAGTATTACAGAAGTTATTGATTGATGCTATTTTAACATGCACAGCCTCAGACCACAGATTAGGAAAGACTGTAATCACAGATTGAAGTATTGCGGGGGCACCGTTCAGACCCAGCAGTGTTACAGAATATGACAGGTGGAAGGTCATAATTCAAAGAAGTTTTGTCCACAAAGCTGAGCCCTGGACAGTTATCGGCAGCCTGAGGGCCGAACAGCTGCTTGGCCCTGACTCTGTCCCTGAGGCTCTCCCTGCTGCACGTGGCCCCCACTGGCCCTCAGCCCCTCAGCATACCCCTGTTTGTAGGTTGTTCTGGAAATGTTATACATTCATCAGGATGCAGCTCTGAGAGAAACATGACTGTGTGACATATTTGTGAGCCATGGAGAGGATAAACTATACTGAGGGCATGATTTAGCTATTCATATGAATGGATTCTTACTTCGATCTTTCCTATGTTTTGACACAAAGGGTATCCTTAAAGAATGTGCACAGTCTGTCATGCAGACGTTTTTCATTCCCAGTTATCTCTTTTCAGGATGGTTCAGGTTTTGATGAGGTGGCAATGAATGTGCCCCGCCAGCTAATAATCCCCCTAATGTAGGAATACTGCTCTCTGCACACACACTGCTCTCTGCACACACACTGCTCTCTGCACACACACTAGTGTCATCACACTGTGTGCCTGACGTGTGAGACATCTTCATGATTCTTTGAATCATGGTACTTTTGATTCTATATAATTGTTTTTTTTATATCTATTAAAACAACTTAGTTACTTATCTTTGAGAAGTAAAGAGCTTTACAAATAAAGTTATTGTTATGGTAATATTTTGTGTCATTATTTGTCTTATGTTCTCCCTCCATCCTCAGAAGGGTGTTGCATTATAATCATTCTGCATGTGTATTTGACAACCTGTTTAAATGAAGGGAAAGTCAGACTTCAGCTGTTCACTCTAACTCCCCCCCCCATAAACCTTGAGTGTGAATCGTGTTCTTGTCCTAGACAGCAAGGGATCTCGTCCGAGGTCTGCGAGGATGCAGGGCCAGGGACAAATGTTTACACTGAAGCCACTCTTGAATCTGATCACAGACCAGCATCTGCGAAGACAGGTCATCATACACTGTCACAGACGTCAGGGTGCAGAGGATGAACATCATGGTGATGGTCCTGCAAGTCAACTATAACCGTCCTGGGCAAGTCCTGTACAGGACATGGACACAAAACGAACATGAGACCAGTGCACCTGCATTAGTTATATGCATATACAGTCTATGGTTATATTATACACTCATTTCAGTTTCACTTTGTCATTATGCACTGAGGAAAGGGTCCCAGTGAGCCTCTGCACACCCAGAGCTAAGACAGAATGTCTCTTTAAATTCGAGTCTAATGTGCTGAACACTCAGAAGCTGACACTTCACAGTGTTATAGCGGACATTCAAGTAATGAAGGTTACATAAAGGCCCATTCCCAAACCGCCCCCTACACCCTACTCCTCCGTTTGCGCGTTCACGCGGAGGGTCTGCCATATTAAGGCAGGGTTGCCAACTCTCACGCATCTGGCGTGTGACACACGCTTTCACTCTCAATCTCACGCTCTCACGCTGCCCAAACTATTCTCACGCCAAAAACAAGATGAACCGGCGATCGTTTTTGGTTGGTTATTTACAATGTTGAGTTGACAGCTGCTCAAGCTGTCGATCCGCCCCCACCACTCTTAACAAGGTTAACAGACAGCAGAGCAGTGGGAGCCGGTTGGTCAATCCCCGACCCGTATTGCGCATGCGCAGATCTAAGATCCAGTAGAAATGATACAAAAGTAAAAGTCTGCTGCTTATTGTTCTACTAGGCCAAAATAGAGTCAAAGAGTATATGAGAAGGAGAGTGTGTTAATTAATATATTTGGCAGTTTGGAGTAAGTCTGTAGATTTGTTTGTGTGTGTGTTTCATGTATAGGCCTCTCACGATAATTAATTTTGTTGGATACATTTTCCCGGAAATTATTGCGTTAAACGATAATATTGTCGGCACCGTTGTATGACCATTTTAGATCCCTGACATAATGATAATATATAATAATTCAAGTACATCCTTTCAAACTGCTAGTCACATCCTCATGTAAATGGAAATCTATCGAGTTAATTTTTATTTATCACTGTTATTGCTTTTCCTCAATTACCAGGTAGCCTACTCTTTAAGTCAATGAATTGCTTATCGCGACAGGCACACAATAAAACAGTGTGTTTGACTTTCATTAGTGAATGAAACTTTGGGCCCTTTATACTCTGTCCAATATTGTGTATTTGTATATATTGTATATATATATCCTATATATATGCTAAGGTCCCGCTACTGACACGATAGCAGTCATTTAGTGCGCATATGTGTAATTAAACCCATGATATCAAAATCTCACTCCAGCCAGGTACCCAAAGTTGGCAACCCTGTATTGAGGGCTGTTCCAAAGCAACGAGTGTGGAGCGGTGTGGAGGGGGAGTGGGCTATCAAGCCCTCAAACAGCGAGTCTGCAGCAAGCCCCCAGGAAGTGCGCCGGACTCAGATGAAAATATTCGTGCTGGCCAAACGGCGGTACTACACTTCCGTTTGGTTGCCAGGCCCGGAAACACTTTTTCCCATTGACTTACATGGGGAAAGAGTGGTCTGTAACTCGTTGGATAATTTGTTTTAAACTAAATAAACTACCCAGTATGAACACTTGTATAGCCCTTATTAAAAACATTCGTTCCTCAAGTTGTAATAATGTGCTAATAACGTTATTCTGAGAGTTATTTCCCTCTGCATTATGAACGCGCATCTAACCCACGGGACCGCGCCGCCCGGCACGTTCATGTTACGTGTCCCGACCAATCAGAGCACACTGTGCTCACAGGGAGGGTGGGGCTGGAGCTATTGGAGCTACAACGAGCCGTTAAAGGCAGAGAGTGAAATTCAGTGAATACACGTAGTTTACAGAGATGCTGTTTGAGAAACCAATGTGAGTTGCGTTTATCTTTACCCATGGATGCACAATAAGAACGGACCCATATCGTCTTACTGCCATCCCACGGAGCTGTAATAATAGATATATTGCACATGTTTGCTGTAATTCATTATTATACTACATGGGCTGTATGATTAAATCTTGTACCGTAAATGTTGTATTAAATAAAGTTAATATTACCGACATTATTAACGTCCCTGTAGCTTCGTATTGCACTAAGAAGCTTATTGCACTGTAGGCCTATACAGTGCAATAATAATTTCATGCTAAATGAAGCTCTGTTGGATATCACTAGATCCTGTTACAGCGTAATATAAGTACATAACGATTGATGTGTACATTAGCATCATTACTAGCTAGCTGCTAACTGCCGCCTCGTTCATATCAAATCCATGATAACAACAATCCATTACCATGCTGTCATGAACGCGCGGTGCTGTTACGTGTACGCAAATTGACGTGCTTGATGTGAACGAGCATTTTGGTTAAAGTTGCGCATGCTCTATGAGCGCACATACGGGTACTTCTCAGGCATGCTGGGTAATCTGTGACGTTTCACTCTCTCAAAAGGTGGGCCATTTTATCATCATGCGCTAATGAGCAGCTCTCATAGGAATTAATGAGGCCCCGCCTCCCACGCTGTAGCAGCGATGCTGACTTGAGACCGGTCTCTGCCTGACTGGAGTCACGCTGTGTGTGTCCGTCGGGAAACAAGCTGTTAAAAAGTAGTTCCAGCAAACTTCCACTGATAAATTGCGATGTTAACAACCTCATGATGACCTCATATATTTTGAATTTAGGATCAAACCTGTGTTTAGTCTAGAAAAAGGTAAAATGTGTGCATTTTATTATAAAGTGTATATTTACAGACCGTTGCAAAAACTAAGAAGCTTATAAACATCAGGTTTAAAACTAAAAGAGCTTTGAAACACAATGAAAGATGTTTGGAGTTTTATTTGAGTTATTCATTTAAACTTTTTGTCAAAGAGATGCTGATTTGAAACCGTTGTTACATACAGTTACGGCATTTCCTGTTTCTGCCGGAGAGAGGGGAGGCCGTCCCAAAGCTTGCTGCTGTATTTACTCCCTCCATCTGACAGGAGGGAGCCTCGTTGAGCTGCGAGTGTGGCTACAGACGGAGTTCACTCCATCACGGAGGGGTAGGGTCGAGGGAGTGGTTTGGGATTGGGCCGAAGATACTCCTCAGAGGTTTCTCAATACTCAAATTTCCCCTCCTCGACTCCCCTCCTCGAGATTGGTGCCGCCCACAGGAGACCGAGGAGGGGAACCGAGGAAAGAAGAGGGGAAGCAGCAGGCGGTTAGAGAAATGAGAACTCCTCTCCTCTGAGCGGTCATTTTAAAGAGACGTCCATTAATGATGACAGGAGGCACAGCAGCCCTCTGTCTGATGGACAGATGTGTTCATGACCACTTATATATTTACTTTGATTCATTCACAGTGCGGTATAATGAGACAATAACAGCCTACAGATGCGGACACACACATATATTTATATTAGGGCTGTCAGTCGATTAAAATAGTTAATCGCGATTAATCGCAAATTAATCGCACATTTTTGATCTGTTTTAAATGTACCTTAGAGGAATATTTTTCAAGTTTTTAATACTCTTATCAACATATGAGTGGACAAATATGCTTTATGCTAATGTTTATTATCATTTGAACAATGACAAATATTCTCATGAATATTAAACACAACAACCTCTGAACATTACAAATATTCGCTTCAATTCAACCTGGAACCTCTCTCAACTGGTGTGTGTGTGTGTGTGTGTGTGTGTGTGTGTGTGTGTGTGTGTGTGTGTGTGTGTGTGTGTGTGTGTGTGTGTGTGTGTGTGTGTGTGTGTGTGTGTGTGTGTGTGTGTGTGTGTGTGTGTGTGTGTGTGTGTGTGTGTGTGTGTGTGTGTGTGTGTGTGTGTGTGTGTGTGTGTGTGTGTGTGTGTGTGTGTGTGTGTGTGTGTGTGTGTGTGTGTGTGTGTGTGTGTGTGTGTGTGTGTGTGATGGATCGTTGGAGCTATGTGCAACTCAAGGCATATGCTCGAACGGGAGCTGCCTGGACGCTGCAATCATGTTGTGCACTATCCGTGCTGTGTGTGCTGACTTCTCGTACAATGTCCCACTGTCTGGCTTCCTGCATACAGTCAAGTGCTCGGCGCAGTTGTGGCGAAATGTCGCTCCTCTGTTTTCATTTAAACAGCTCCTTATATCCGTTAGCGCAGCTAGCTAGCACCAGATGCTAACAACAACAATGCACGTAAGGTCTCTCTCTCGCTCGCTCGAGCCACACATACACACACCCTCCCGGTCCTCCCAACAGCCAGTCGGTGCCTGCCGGTGAGCGTGGAAGTGTGGTCTGCCACAAGCGGGCGGCAGGAGCGGGGCTGTCAGCATCAGCTTGTAGATGGTATTTTAAACTCGATGCGCTCTGAAACTACGGGGCGGCCGAGGAAAAAAAATACACATGCGTTAATCGCGTTAAAATAATTAGTGGCGTTAACGCGTTAACTTGACAGCCCTAATTTATATATACAATTTCAGGGTTGTAGCAGCGATGTTTGCAGTGAAGGACAGGTTGTTATCTAGGGTCACACCCAGATTCCTTGCAGTCTGAGTCGGGGAAACAACTGAGGTGCCGATGTTGATTGTCAGGTCAAGAGTTGGACAATTTTTTCCCGGGAGGAAGAGCAGTTCAGTCTTGTCAAGGTTGAGCTTGAGGTGGTGAGCAGACATCCACTGAGAGATGTCAGCTAGACAAGCAGAGATGCGTGCGACGACCTGGGTCTCTGAGCGGGGAAAGGACAG